CTTTAGGCCAGCCAATCAGATTGTAAGATTTTATATAATATCTAATTAACTGATAAATATCTTTATGAAAACAAATTTTGATTACTAAATATATTAATAAAAAATTATATAATTTGAATTAATGGTTTTAATAATAATATATATATATATATTTTGAACTTTTGGTGACAATGCCAGTTGGTTTATTAGCTTTAATTTACATAGTATAAATTTTACAGTTACATTTTTAGGATCAATTATTACTAGTATTATATACTATCTAATTTTACATTACTGACTTCACCTGGTTACCTTTATGGCATCTAAGTGCATATCTGCTGCATGCCTGCATGCAGTTATCTAAACAATTACTTGCAATCAGGTCACATCATTAAACCACTATACAGACAAGAATACATACTGAACTTAATACAGTATTCCAAATGCCAGGAGTACTGTCTTCTGTAAATCATACTCATATGTTCCACTTATATATTTTACCTGGTCTTGTTTCTTCTATCTCTTGTCACTATACTACTTCCAAATTGATTTTACTCAGGTATGTTTAATCTTTATGATCTTCTCATCTTTGGTATGTCTGTTATTGATTTCTCTAAGATGTTCTGATAATGGTCCAGGATCTGCAAAGAACCTGTATCTCAAGCCAGATCTGCTGCTGCCATTGGTCTTTTTGACCAATTCATATCACAAGCTAGGTCTGCTACCACTGTTTCTGCAGATGTCCCAGGTCTTAATGTCATACAATAACTCAATGCTGCATTTAACCTCCAACATGGTGCTCCCTTCTATGGTAGAAACTGAGACTTGTTGTGCTTATAAACAGGACAAATCTGATTATACCTAGGGAGTTTTTTCAATCCTAATGATACTATATTATCATATATTGCAAGCTCTCAACTTATTTGATAATACTTGCAGGACAATTCTGGTTATGCCCTAGGGAGTTATACTGACCCCAGTGATGCCATACTATCTTGCAGATCTTATTTCATATTGGTTGGTTGATTCCAGTCTTGTTTATCATAGACTTACATATAGGTATGACCAGGAACCCAATTTGGTACTTTTACATTGCACAAGAAAGTTATACATCAACTTTCAAGATTTTTCTCTTCTATAATTAGATTATTTGGCTATGCCAGAGGTGCTTCCAATTTTTGGTTAGGCCAATCGTTTATTACAGTCCATCCTCGTGTTCACTGCTTCTCTCATTATTCCAGTCTTGATTACCTTCAAAATACTCTTCCAATCAAATCCTCTTCTTGAATTCTAATTAAGACTTATTTGCACAATCTATTGATTATCCTTTCAAGCAAGTACTCTACAAGTTGGGTGCAGTAATGTTGTTATTGCCTATATTAGGAGATATAAGGATGTTGGTGCTGCTTTAGTCTAAAGAACTTATATATACAATCTTTCTATAATCATAATCTTCTGTAACAACTGCTTGCTATGCATAGTGTCTGCACTCCACAATTGAGTCTTCTTGCAGAAATTTCTATTTACATCATTGTACTGCACTTGAACTTAACCACAGTGCTTCACATTTAATTACAGGCTTCTTATTAGGTTACTGAAACTAAAATCTTTCAATTTTGTTTTCAGTTGAACTTGAACCATTGACCTTAACTGTGGAGGGTATGGGAGCTTAACTGCTAAGCTATGGGACCTACACCCCTTAATAATATTATATATGTAATAGTTATATACCAATTTTAGATATGATTTTCTCAAAATTACATAATTTTTCCAAAGCCACTTTTTCTAGAAGTCTTCTTATATATAAAGAATATCTGACAAGCTATCAGCATTTCAAGCAATCTTAACATTTATGTTGCATTATTGTCAGTGTTATTTGATATTAAATTACAGAACTTTTAATTTTATGAAATGACAAATCACATTCATACCTAGTAAAAATATCGAATTCATTCACATATTATTGTTATTGAAAATTTTTTCAACATATAATTTTTTACTGGTATTCAGGTTGTCAATAAATATCTTTATAACTGCTTCATAAATTTTAAGGTATCTTGATATGTTTTAATTCACAAATCTATTAAATTAGCAAATATTCAATCAAATTTTATCAGATGCCCATAATTATGAAAACAACTACAAATAATTTTTTTTATTTTTAAAAAAATAAATTATAAAAAAATAAAAAATAAAATTAAGAAAATTACCATTTATCACCAGTACAATGCATTGCCACTATATAATTGAATCAAACTAGTAATAGGCAGATTGCAGTTTTTTAAAAACTTATGTGACCATGTGGAATTTGTGAAATATAGTATTCAGTTCAGAAGTTTGTAACTCTGTTGCTTCACAATTCAATATCTTATGTAATGTACAATAAGTAACCTTTTCAAAGAGGGTATTAAATTTGGCTAGTAAGTGGTTAAGGCTTTCGGTTACTTTAGGTCAATGAATACAAGTAGGGTAAGTCATGTGAATAAAAACTTGAACAACAATGTTATAGGGGTTTACAGGATTTGTAATAGTAATAGTGTTAGTGTTTATTATATATAATGTAGTGTATTGGGATTTATTATTTAATAAAGCAAATGAAGTGTACTGCTTCAGAGAGCCATTTTAGCCTTTATTTATAATATAAAATTTGTTGCTTATAAATGTGATGTTGCACTTATTATTACTTTAAGGCTGCTAAATGTTATTTACAATGATATATTTAATTTCTCAAACTATGTTTTATTTCTTTAAAGATGTGTAATTTTTTCTTACATCCTTCTATACTACCTCTCTAGATCCAAAATACTGTTCTCAATCACAATTTAACTTATTGCATTTTGTGTATGTTTTATATGATCGATCATAATATTTGGTATCACAATATCTGTTGTTACATTTTCCTTCTGCTTAGGTCATATGTACTATGCATAATCTTCTTTTGTGAGCTCTTGGAGTTCATGTAGTTTCAACTTTCACAAGTTAGTAAACTCCAATTTGGTGGTTCGATAGATCTATTCGACTTCATATTTTAAGAACATATCACATATTTGAATAGCAGAGGTATAGTAGTGCCTCTTCACCATATCCTAAAACTGGCTCTGTTGCTGCCAGGTGCCATTGGCATAAAACATCCCCAGATAGTATTCATATACTATCGAATTGATGTGCTGTTTTAACCTCAAGCTTCTTTGAAGATAATTCATCATTAAGGCAATACTTCCAGGATAGTTGTAGGTCATCGTACAGGGTGGGGTGCTGAATTGATATTGATCAGGTATGGGTAGGTGACATCGTCTAAGATCTTATACAATGTGATCAGATTTCTAACTATTATTTTTTTGTATTTAATCGAATTCATTTCTATAGATCTTAAAAATTCTTTTTATCCACATTTGATATCTTCTTTTTATTAAAAAAAAATTTTTTTTTTTTTTGACTTTTGTTAATTTTGGAAATTTTATTTTAAAATTTTTCAAGTTCATTTTATATCCACTTGTCAATTTTCATTTCCTAGTTGAACTGTTTGTAATACTCCTTCAGCGGTGTAATGTTAAATGGTATTGTGAGGATCTTTTCTTCTATGGTGCGCAATTTATACACATCTCTGTTTAGTATCTGATAGATGTAAAACAGTTTATCCTATTTTGGCTCTAACTTCATGCTTCTATTATAATTTTTTGAAGCATGGTATAGCAGAACTTTGTTGCTGATAAACAATTTATGTGAAAAACAGGCATTTCAGTTATACTGTTCTTTTTGTTTTCTTTGAGCCTATTGGACTTCTAACACAGCCTCATAATGTGTTATCAGTAAGTCTTCTAACAATTGGAACATTCTTTGTATTATCGTTCCTTCTAACAAATCATCAGATTCGATTAGTAGGCAGGCTTCTCTTTCATGCATCAAATAAAATGATATAATTTTGATAGTCATATGTTTAGAGATATAATATGCAAATAATACTGCAGACATAACAAGATTCCATTTGCTAACATTATCCATTGACCTTGCAATAGATTCGCACAAAGTCTTATTGTATCATTCTATTAACTCATTGGTTTGTGTATGGTATGGTGTTGATAGTAGGTGTTGATAGTAGGTGTCTGATCTTGAACTTTTCTAGCAACCTATCAACAAGTTGGTTTCTAAAGTGGGTGCCATAATCCGATAACAGCTTGAAGAGGCACCTATGCTGATATATGATATCTTTGAAAATGAAATCTGCTATACTTTAAGCATCAGCAGTTGATATCACTCTAGCTTTCAGCCACTTGGTTATGTAGTTAGTTGCTATGACTATATAATAGAAATTTCATGATATAATTAGAAGTGATTCTACAATATTGATCTCAACTTTATAGAAGAGTGCCATAACAGGTATAGGTTGTAAGGGTCTCTATATTTATTCTTCTCTCTTTTTTGACAACTTTCATACAATTGGATGTATCTTTTAATATACTTAAATGCTTGAGGCCAATAGTACGTTCTATAGATTTTTTTGAACATTGTCTTAGCTCTGAAATGCTCTCTAAATAGATGATTATATGTCAATAGGAGTATGTGGTCAATTTCATGCTTCTGGACTATCTTTAATAGTTGGTCTTGGAGTTTCTTGTTTTTCTTGTATAGTAGTCTATTCTTCAATAAAAATGATCTACTGGAATTAATAAACTGCTTTTTTTGTCTCTTATCTAAGTTGTCATCAATATAGCCTTCTTTCAAGTATCTTTTTAATTGAACATAGTCTTCTACTTTTATTGTAAATTTCTACAGTCAGGATACTGACTACCTGGACTGGATTAAGTTTATCATCAGATTTGAGGTATTTTCTGTTCTTCTTAAACTTGCTTTAGTTTGGCTTTTCTTTATACTAACACATATTTTTTTTTTTTTTTGTTTTAGGTATGATTTTCCCTTCCAGATAATTCGAGTTTTATTATCTTTTAGTCATTCCTCCAATTGGCATTTCTTTTCTTCTTAATTTCTTTCAAGTTTAATGGTTTGGTGTATTCCAAGTTGATTCAGGTATCGTATAAGTGCTCCCTTCTCACTAATTTTTGCTTTGCTTCTGTAATTACCCAATCTCTTAATACTAATAATTGTCTTGGTTCTGATGCTATTAGGTTAAATCTGTGGACTTCAATTGTGTAGATAACTTTTCTTCTTTCTAAGACTTCTAACAAAAGATGCTCGAAACAGGTAGGATGGTAATACATTTGATAGGTGTTGTCATACAATTTACTCAGCTTCAAATACTCTAATTTGCTTTGATATTTCATCCCCAACTTGGTAAATGACAACAGGAGGATCAGTGAGGCTCTTGGGTCAAATACTTGTTTGAAATTGGATAAGTTGGTTTGTTCTTTATCATCCTGTTTTTCATTTTTTTCTGTTGCTAATTCTTTTTCACTACTTTCTACTATCGCCATATATATTTTTATGACATCATCTTCCATTCTATTTATTCATGACAATGCATTTGCATTCCAATATATATGTTCTGACCTATACTAGATCATGTAATTGTACAGCTGTAAATGAAATATCCAACAGGCCCTTTTACCCTTTAACTTCATACTATGCAGCTATTTGAGTGCTGAGTAGTTGGTTATAATAACAAACAGCTTAAAGCTAAAATAATGGTGGTAATATTCTACTACCCAAATAAACACCAGGCATTCCAATCCACATGCTGAATAGTTTCTTTTAGTTTTGGATAGGCTGCGACTAGTATATAAAATCATGTGCTCCTTTCTATCAACATCCTTTTGAGCTAAAATGGCTTTCAACCCCATTCTGGATGCATTAAAATGTATTGTCAAAGTTGGAATACTTTAGGACAGATGCCTTAATTAAGTAAATTTTTAAGGTTTAAATGCCTTTTGTTGTTTTGACCCCCATTCAAAACTAATACTCTTTTACAATAGACAGTGTAAAGGCCTTGCTATAGCTGCAAATCTGGGGATGAACTTTTGGTAATACAATGCAAGACCAATAAACCCTTTTAACCATCATAGGATACTGGATACAGGGTAGTTCTTTACCTTCTCTACTTTACATTCATCAGGTTGTATGCCTTGCCGTCTAACAATATGCCTAAGAAAGTGGATGGTAGGTTTAAAGAATTCATATTTCTTTATATTAATCTTTAATCTTGCCTTAGCTAATTTATTAAAAACTTTTTTCAGGTGTTTCAAGTGTTCATCGAAGGTATGTGAGTAGATATGAATATTATTGATGTAGACAATCATGAATTTTTCAATATACTCCTCAAAGATTTGATCCATTAATAGTTGAAATGTGGTGGGTGCATTTGATAATCCAAATAGCATAACATTGAACTTATAAAGTTCACCCTGTGTTATGAAAGCTGTTTTCTCTATATCTTTCTCTTCAACCTTTACCTGCCAGTATCTGCTCTTTAAGTCTAAACTAGAAAACTAATTTGCAGTACTAAAGGTCTCCAATAAGTCATTGATACAGGGTAGTGAGTAAGAATCCTTTTTTATTACTTTATTCAACTTTCTGTAATTGACACATAGTCATAGTTTTCCATTTTTTTTGGCACTATGACTATGGGTGAAGCCTATGGGCTATTCGATTTTCTAATTAACCTTTTTTCTTTCATTTTCTTTAATTCCTTTTTGATAAACTCATGCTCACTTGGTGCTGCCCTGTATGCCTTCTGCTTTATAGACTTGGCTATGCCAGTCTCAATTTGATAGATTATCATAGTGGTTTCTTCAAGTTTCTGTATATCATTCGCAAACAAGGTCCTTTCTTGTTGAAAGAGTGCTGCTGCTTTGCTTTTGTTTTCTTTATCAAGGATTTCATTTTGGAGGAATCATTCAATTCTTTCTTCTATAGTGAGTGTGGTATTATGTTTTCCTTCATTGGCAATTCTTCAACATTCATCAGGTACAAGGCCAAATTGGTAGTTCCTTCTTATGGGTTATAAAACAACTCATTTATTTCATCAATGGCTTCTTCTGTATAGTATCCTTCCACTTCAATCACTTCTTTATCCTCATAGATGTATTCACCAAATTCATCCTCACTATCACTACCAGACTGGTTTCTTTCTTCTAAAACTTCCAACTTCTTGATGCCATTACTAAAAATAGGTACTTCGATTCTTTTACTATTGTGCTTGAGGAACAGCCATTGTTTGTCAAAATGAATTCATGCTTGTACCCTTTGGAACCAATCATTGCCTAGTAGGAGGGTCTTGTCTATTGATTCAATAACCTGAAAGGTACTAGGCAATAGGATGTCTTGAATGGCCACCTTTATGTTCTCGATTTGTCCAAGTGCTTGTATTCTCATACCGGTTGCCATAATTACTACTGTGGATAATGGTTTATCTATTTTTAACCTCAACTTATCCATGAGCTTTATTGTCATTATACTTACTGCTACTTTTAAATCTAATATGGCTTAAATGGGGTTGCCTTTAATCCTTGCATAACAATAAGCAGCTGTGCTTCTATAGGTGTTACTAAAATTTACCACTTGAGGTTCTTGGACTTCTTGGGGTACTCAAATTTTTTTCAGTTCTAGGGCCACAAGGGGTCATCATAATACTTGAACCAAGTTCTTTTTTGGTTTGGATACTGGAGTAATTGATTATACGTAGTGTTTACTCTTAAATTTAACAAATCCTCTGCAATATTGTAGGGGACAAGCTTATCTATTATGGACAGTCCTCTTTTTTTTTTTGTTTGCTTAACCAGATGTGCCTCGTCCAACTCTATAGGCTTTAGTTGGTCCTCTATGTCTACTAATAATAGTTTAGGTTCTGTTTGGGATTGAAGCCTATTGTCTTACTTTGTTTCTGGTTGTAACCTTGGTCTTTTATCAGCAGTATTGGGTTGGCTTGCTGTTTCTTCTTATCTACTATATACAATTCATCCTAGCATACTCATAGTCACAATAATTCACCATTCTGACATTATCTGTTGGTCATCTTTCATTCTCACTAGGCCTTTTATACTTCTTCTTTGATATATAGTATTAGGCAATATGCCCTTTTTCACCATATCGATAACAGACAATATCTCTCTTGAGCTTGAGAGGTTCCTTATCTTTCTTTTTCATGTGGATCCCATTCTTGTGGATTGGTTGCTACAACATAATTGACCAACAGTTGCTGCACCTGCTTGACTAGTGCTTCTATAAGCTTATCTTTCTTATCAGAAGTCACTGCAGTCTCATGTAGGTAGGTGTTATAATATTCGCTGGCTTCAACTTTTCTTGCTATCATGATTGCTTTGTTGAGATTAGTAAAAGACATTACCACCATGAAGGTTGCTATTTTTTCTTTCAAATCACTTAAGAACATCTTTACTATATACTGAGTAGTTAAAGAGTCAGTTGGATCTACATGACTTAGAAGTTTCTTGAACTTAGTAGCATAGGCATCTACCTTTTCAGTTTCAAGCTAGGTGAAACTATTCAATTGAATGTGCTACTTGTGCTGCTTTTCTGGAGTGGCAAAGAAGGTGACTAGCAAGTGATATAAGCTTCTGTCTTGGTCATCATCATTTTTCCATTCTTCAATAATGGCTTTATTATTTTTGTACTATTCTGCTGCCAATCCCTTAAGGTAGCCAAAAGCTATCTTCAGCTTCTATTTATCTGTTCAATTATTCACTTCAGCAGCATACTCAAAAATATCGATTCATTCAATTGGGTTCTCATCATCACTACCACTAAAGCCTCTAACCTTCATATGGTTCATTTCTCTTGATCTGGACCTATTTCCTTTCACAATATTTTTAGCTATATTCTTGAAAGACTTAGTCATATTTTCTATTAGTTCTCTGAGCTGAGTTGCATTTATGATGGCAGGGCTAAATGGTGCAAGAATTCTTTATAGAGTGTTTTAGTGCTAGGCTTTTACTTAATTCAGGTATGTTTATTAATTATTTAGGCTTCATTTCTACTAATTCAAAATTTTCAAATCAGGTATGAAGGGAGAAGGGAAGGGTAGGGAACATTATTTTTGTATCTCACAGTTACCACCAAAATGTTCGATTCAGAAGTTTGTAACTCTGTTGCTTCACAATTTAATATCTTATGTAACATACAATAAGTAACCTTTTCGAAAGAGGGTGTTAAATTTGGCTAGTGGGTGGTTAAGGCTTTTGGTCACTTTGGGTCAATGAATACAAGTAGGGTAAGTCATGTAAACAAGTACTTGAACAACTATGTTATAGAAGTTCACAGGGTTTGTAATGATAATAGTGTTAGTGTTTATTATGTACAATGTAGTGTATTGGAATTTATTATTTAATAAAGCAAACAAAGTGTACTACTCCAGAAGGCCATTTTAGCCTTTATTTATAATATAAAATTCGTCACTTACAAATGTGACATTACACTTATTATTACTTTAAGGCTGCTAAATGTTATTTACAATGATATATTTAATTTCTTCATCCATGTTTTATTTCTTTAAGGATGTGTAATTTCTCCTTACATCCTTCCATATTACTCCTCTGAATCTAAAATAGCATTCTTGATTACAAATGTAACTTATTGCATTTCATGTATGTTTCACATGATCAATTATGATAATTGGTATCACAATATCTGTCGTCACAATAGTAAAGTTTTTTTAATTTTTCATAAATTATAAAAATATATATAAAGATAATCACTATAAATATAATTTCTTATTAAAATAATATATTTTAAATACATTTAGCATTTCAAAATAATGACAAATCAGTTTATTAACACCCATATTATAGCAATGTTGTTTAAAGAATGACTTAATAATGGTTATATTTATTATAAAGGAATAGTAAGTAAGAACTACCAACGGTAAAAAAAATTTTACCAAGTATACGCATATATTTATAGAAAGATAAACAAATAAAAAATTCTACGTACGTAGAAATACCGGGGTAAAACAGTCACCCAAAAAAGTTTCGGACATCATGTGACAAATATATCGAGAACTAAAATTTCATGTAAAAAATCATTTTTTACTGAATTAAACCTTGCGATAATAAATAATACGTTTATTGAATTATTCGAAATAAATAAAATGATTAATTTATTACTTATCATTTAAATTTTTTTGTCTGTATTTGTTTGTTAAGATACATGAATTTTTAGTGCTCGATATATTTGTTACGTGACGTTCGAAACTTTTTTGGGTGGCTATTTTACCCTAGTCTTAGAAATTGGCCCATTAATGTTAATGCGGGAAGGATAATATTTAATGCAGACCGGATGATATGATAATGCAGGCCGAATAATCTCATTAAAATCCCGCGCGTGACCCTTCACTAATCAAAACAAAACAACAAACAAAACAAACGATCATGGAAGTTAGGGTTTAGGTTAGTGTAAGAAATTTGTTTTGAGGTTTATGTTCTCGTGAGAACAAAATTATTAATTTAAACTTCTCAAAGATATGTCTACATTCTCAATAAAAAAAGTTTAT